AGGAGCGTCACTCATTTTTAACCCCGTCAAGAGGTTTTTCTTCTGATCATTACATTTCCATATTTGTTGTACTAAGTACATTGAATAAAATTCGCGATTGTGAAATAAATTTGTAATCGCAATTATAAAAATACAATATCGCCCAATTCATACGTCAAAGCGAAGGGGGAATAACTTGATTATTTTTTTGGACTCCAAGTGAACATTAATAGAATTTGTTGCTAATTAAATGTTCGGGTAATTCCAATTATAAACTTACTTGTTGATAACATTTTTTCTCAAAACAGGTTTTTTTTCATCGTCTATGTGAAATAAATTGGATTATTGGCTTTCCGCGAGATTTTGATTATACATTTATTCCTCATTTGATTCGGCCATTTTAATTATTCTTTCATGAATTTCATTTCCGATTGAAGTATATATGCCGAGTGACTCGGCCCGAGTATAGACTTGCATTTATTACTATATATGAGACGTATGCTTGTGAAGTAGAAAAATAGACATAAATAGGCTTCATGCTTCGATCATAATTCAATTGATTTTCATTTTGAGCAAAAATTGATTGTTGATACCTCGCCAATTTTTCATTATTTCATGAAGATTGATAAGAATAATACACGACGTGTAATTGTCGCTTGCAATAAATCTCAATTAATCTTCGATTTTTTCTATATATTGCATGTAACTTAATCTTAGATTGAAGAAAAGAACCACAAATGCAACAACCACAACTCGAGAGATTCCATTGAAAACTAAAATCTAATGAAAAAAAATGTATCATTCACTTTCATGCAGCGAACAGTTTTGCTGCGTTATCCGATTGAATGCGAAATATAGTTATGAAATATAATCTTTCCATTCATATATTTATGCACTTTTTGCTGACAGCTGACAATCATTCATTTTCTGGTATTCGAAAATTGTGCGTCAGTTGAATGCGATCAAACCGAGACGATGACTAAAAATCTGTTTCAATTCATTAAAAGTTCATCCATGTTAAAAACAAGACATAACAAATGGTTAATCCTTGATTTTAAAAGCATAATGAATATTTGTATTCTCATTTATTCGTATTTTGAGCAATGTTCAGCATTCTAAACAGTGATTCTTCTTAAAAACGAATTGAGTGCTACGAAAAAAGAAAAAAAAACCGTCTTGTCTGACCATAAATTTTATGTTCTTGCACTGATAATGAGATTGTTATGGCCCAATTCGACGATTGTGAGAGTGAGGAGTAAAAACAACTCGTAAATCATTTGACATATTCCGGTATCAACTTCATCGATGTGCGTCCGTGGCGGATGTTTATGTTTCGCCTCGATGGACGATCGGACAAAATACTTTTAAGAATAGTTACTTAATATTTGTTTACCGGTGAATTCTCATATTTCATGCCATTTGTTGGACAGTGAAACAAGTAAAATGCACAACAATACCAGAAAAAAAATATCATGTAGAACAAGCGACAGACTCAGAGCAACACAATGACAAACATCATGTTCTGTGAGTGACAAAATGTTACGGGATAAAAACGAAGCAAAAAACACTAGATAGAAATGCTATAAATGCTGAAGATTATACAAATGAACTATGCACCGAAGATTGAACACTTTGAATGTTAATTATCATTTCGTTGAAAACCAGATCAAAGTTCACTTTTTTATTTCTCATATCGAAACGATACGAAGGCAGTTCGTGTTTCTTTTCCACAGAAACAAACGACGGTTTAATTTTGAACAGTCAGTATGTCGAATACGCATGGCTGTCAAATGTCGTTAGAACTGTATTGTGACGTGCTAGTTTCGTTGTGTGTTTGTTGTTTTGTTAGCCCAGTGGCTAAGCGCGGTGAGAGAATAAGAGAGTATCGCTGATGCGGCTTCTGTTCATCACATTAATGAAATCAATCGAACGGAATTGTGTTCAACTGCAAGCGCCTGTATAGTACACAAAGAATCGAATGCATAGACCGTCCTTGTCTCTCACACTTCACAGAATTTCGCCCATACATCGAGCACGCCACGACTCGAGAGCAGCAGCACACACAATGTTTATGTGTTGAATGACTTTAAATTTAAAACAGTTGATAACAACCGAAACGGACGAAAGCGTCGTAAGACGAAAGAATAAGACGGAACGAGCGCTACGAGACTGCGACTGAAGAATACCGAATGAAAAAAAAAGAAGATCTGAATACGAGTACACCAAACAACGAGCAATAAAATTTATGAAGTGTCTGATTAGTGTGATTCGACTAGCACATGCGATAAGATCCCCGTAGTCATTACTCGGACTGTGGTTGTGCTGAATCGTTGGGCCAATAATTGTTTCCCTCATTGTTTGTACAAATCTATTCGGACTCCCGAAAAAAAATACAGCAATCGGTACATACGTATTTGTTTTTGTTTCGCGCACAGTGTGCAATTATTTGCTGTCACCGTAGTTCATGGTTTATTGGTAAAATTTACGTGTCGAGGAGTGTAAATATTTGGAGAATTGCTGCTTTTCAGTTTTTTTTTTTTCATTGTTCGCCGTGTTTTCAATTTTCAACAATTTGGTCATCTATGCCACTTCGAGGGTCTCGCAACCACGTGTCGTTTTCGTGCATTTTTAAAGTGCACACTTGAAACGATCTCAACCTATTTCGCTAGCGTGTTTTCGTCTCTTTTTTTTCGTCCGTGTTTTGTTTATGTGCTGTGGTGGTGATATTTAAAGTTTTTTGATTGACATTAAAATCAATAATCAAGCCTAATTTTGGGTATTGGAATACTATAAATAAAGAAAAACGGTTTGTAAATTGACACATCAATATTTTTAATTAGCATCAAATTAAGACAAATGAACAAAAGAAGAAAAAAATGTGCAACTCTTTTCATTTTCTCAGAATTATTTACTTTATGTATGCGGTCGTTTGACGCAAAATGACGCCTCAAATGTTCATTATCGATCAAGTGGACTATCGTGATTAATTGCGACAGAAGACTCGATGAGTAAATATTATTTATTAAAGTCGTCAATAAAAATAGCTGTGCACATCGTTCGATATTGCTCAATCCACTGGCAAAAACAGATTTAGCATTTAATTTCTGGAAGTATTTAATCAATGAGAAATTAAATGCTGCGAACTAACAATCAGAATTGATTTAAACATTCGATTGCATTCATTAAAAAGAAAACAGGAAAAAAATGTATGATCTCATTGTCTGTCTATTCGATTCAATCGTCTTTTGACATTTGCCCAATGCCGAGAACTCTTTTTTCACAGTGATGCACCAATAAAAAAAAATCAGTGAGAATGGATCGTGCATATGTTTCTGTGCTACGCACATTGAGAAATAAATAAATTCGGTTTCGTTTATCACGACAATATTCCCAACGATTACCCAAAAATATTATGGTTCGATATTTGTTATCAGGCTACCACAATGATAGCAGTCTGACCGATTTAGAAGCAACAACAAAATAATTGGTAAACTATCGTTCTGATTAGATTTGAATGGGAGCAAAAGTGCAAGTACACAGACACTCGATAATAACGCAACAAATTGAATTTCATTGAGCATGACTATCGGATTGATAGTTTTGATATGTTCTGCGGCAATTTTTTGAATAGAGAGGCTTAAAATATATGAACTTTATGGTATGACTTCTTCAATTATTTTAATTTGTGAACAGTATAAATATGGACACAATCGTTACATTCCCCTTTTTTAATCGTTGTTCTTCATGTTTCTCAGAAATTTCATTTAAAAAATATGTATCAGTCTAGTTGTCAGTTGCATTTCGGACACTCCATTGAAATTAAACTGATTAACAACTTTTTTGACCTCACTGAGTGCGCAAACAGATTCTAATGGAATTATGAGCAAACATTATCGCCAAATTTTGGCTAGAACTTTGCTTTTTCTTTCGTCCGATGTCTATATTTGCATATTGTTGATCACATCATTTATTTGCAGTTGTTTTGACTCTAGAATGACGCTTTGGCCCATATCTGCCTCATAAATTAAAACACATTTCATAAGATCATAAAATCATAAAGAAGGACAGTAAAAATTCTATAAAAAAATCAATAAAAGTTACATAAAAATGGACGAATCTCACGGGAAATGAGTATAAAATTGGAAAATTAGCATAAACCGTTCAATAAATATGGTTGTTTATTGGTATTTTTGATGCAGAGCGTATTAAACATTGTGTGTGCCTAAGGGAGAGACACGAAACTTAATGAGTAAAATTAGAACATTATTCAACGATAATAGGAAAAATAGAAGAAATTAGTGAGTTTGGTTTGCCAATGTTAACGCTTATGGACATATTATTTATTGTTTACAAAATAGTCCCGTTAGGTCTTCCATTGGCGTTGTATTGACAGTGTAATACGCTCTGCAAGCGATTTTACTAGAAATAATAGCACAATATTAGCACTTTTGCACCAAAACTAGAGAAATTAGAGGACATAAAGCAAAAAATACATAAAATTGAGTGTAACTAGACTCTAATAGAATTCGTGTCTCGCTCCTAGGTGTGTGCTGCTCTTATTTTATTTGCGTAGTTTGCTAGCGGGAGAAAAAAAAATTTGTTGTCAGACTGCGTAGTTTGCGATCAATTTATAACATTTTCAACAATAGAAGCTAGACTAAAATGTATCATTATTCCAATGATCTGGCTCAAAATTCATCATATGATCGTCAATGTAGACAACATATAAACTGAAACCAGTTCCGGCATTTAAAAAGTGAAAACGGTGTCTCTCTTATTTGCACATATTTATCATGTACAAGATAAACAACAATATAAAACCAATCCCCATTAAACTCATGCCTGATTTGTTTGTGGCTTTTCTTGTTTTTCGTTGTTGTTGTTTTGAAATATTTTGGGGTTTTTGTGCTTAAATATTATAATTCCGTTTGAACGACGACATCCGTTTAAAACGAAAATAGCTTAAAAAAAGATTCAATAGCAAGATTCTACTTGCTCGAAAACCTTTGATGCGAACAAAAGCCACAGCCAGACACAAAATTTGCGTTGCGACTGTTACATAGAAAACAGTTAATTTATTTATTTCGCCATTTAATCGCAGACTGAATATTATTCATGCAATTTAAACAAACAACCTGGCCACCAGTCCCAAGTGACTTCCGAATGACATACAGTAGCAAAAAAATATTTTACCGTAGCAAAAATTAGTATATGAACGATTAATCGGAAGTCGCCGATATAATTTATCAATTAATTATTCAAACAAAGAGAGAGCGAAAAAGGCAGTGATAGCTTCTTCAGATTGAGGAGAACCAAAGTCAATTGACTCTTCACAAAGTATACAGTGTCGTTTGTTCTCTTACTCACATTCGAAAGCCTTTTAAGCGTGAGCCATATTTGTTTTTCTTGCATCAAAAAAGCAACTGACCGACAACTCATTTGACCTTCGACGATTTTGTGACACCTTTTTTTTCTCTCTGTGTTTCAATCTAAAATGTATTTCATTTCAACGAAACCAAAGTAAAATTGTTCAAACTCTTCACACCGCTCGACTAAGCAGAGTGATTAATTTTGTGTATAATTTAAACGAATGACTTGAACTACCGGTAAATCCCTGTACAAAAAAAAAATCAATAGACAATTTGGAATTTTGCACGACGACATTAAACCTGTTCCGGGATTTCTCATGAATGAATTAATTTGGGTGGGAACTCGAAATGACACTACAGAATGGGACATAGAACAGAAAGTGAAACTCGCTTGATTTTGGTAAACATTATAACAATGTTGCAATACAACATTGGTGTCACTTTTGATTAATACATCGTTGAGCTGTCTATCATAGGATACTTATCAAATATAAATTTTATGAGGAATGTCACTAGGTCTTTGTCCGTTTCGGGTTGCTCCAGAATATAAAAATGTAACGAATCATTCACACACACAAGTTGGCAAATTTAATTAAATGAAAACAAAGAAAAACATGCAAAAAAGCGAACAAGTGGTTCGCATATATATTTTTTGAGCATGTAAGAAATATACGCATAAATTAATCAAAAGAAGCAAAAACACACAGTAGCGTCGTCGTCGTCGTCGTTGTTGTTGTCGAACATGAAAAGGTCATACAGGTTAATTGAGACTTATTACTTTGAATGAATTCAGTCAATCATTTCAAATCGAATTAGTTGACGAAAAAATTAAGCCTGAACATTGCCTGAACTAATTTCGGCCTTATTCAACATTTTATATTTGATTTGCGATTAAATTAATTACTCATCTCTAAATTGCTCAACATGCATGCTAATTGTTGGCGTTATATGTTATGAAATACAATTTTTCTAGTAATAACAATTGCATTGTTGAATAATCAACAACTTCAAAGTAAAACGTGTGCAACTGAAATAAACGTTGTTTGTTCGACATTTCATTTATTTCGCAGATATAAGTTTAATTCTTGAGTTCAGCTGACCGATAAGAATGCATTTCGTGAACCGACAATGTGTGTTCACATGCCTTGGTGTTGGGCTCGTGAGTCTCGGTATTATCTTGACAGTATTCTGGATGGACATTTTTCGTACTATATTAGCGACGGTAAGTGGTGATTTCTAATCGATTGCAATAAAAATAAAAATCGAAATCTTATCGACACACTTTATCTCACTTTATATATTATATCTGTTGTTGTTTTTTTCTCTTCTCCTTTCAATAGGAATTGGCACTAAGACCAAACTCAAAGAGTTATCAAATGTGGAAAAATTCACCGTTGGCGCTAAACTTTGATATTTATTTGTACAATTGGACCAATCCGTGTAATTTAACGGCGGATGATTATGAAAAACCGATTCTCGATCAAATCGGCCCGTACCGATTCCGTGAGAAAACGATGAAAACAAAGGTTAAATGGCATCCAAGCAATTCAACGATCAGTTATCGACGAAAGAGTGTATATTATTTTGTTGAGGAAGAGAGTGCTGGACGACTTGATGATAAAATCATAACAATAAATGCAGTTGCTTTGGTAAGTGACCTTCATTGTTCATCATTACGATGCTCTTGATTCACACACTTTAGGTAAAACGCCTGTCAAATTAATATGCCAAATGAATTGTCTGTCTTTATGTACATAGTCAGCGGCACACACAGCCCGCGATTGGAGTTATGTAATGCAAAAGCAAGTGTCAATGGGCTTGAACTTGTACAACCAACATTCGTTTATCGTGAAAGAAGCTCGTGAATTGCTATTCGATGGCTATGAAGAGGATTTAATTAACATGGCAAATGAGATGTCCAAATTTGGTGCATTGAAATTAAACATTCCGTATGATCGTTTTGGGTGGATGTATGGTGTAAGTTGAACCAGTTTACAATGATAATTAAATTAATCGGATTTCATTTGTAATAATATAAATTATGCTTTTTTTTTCTTGCAAATGCAGAGAAATGAGAGTGAAGACTTGGCTGGTCATTTCAATATCAAGACCGGTCAAGATGACATTATGGAGTTGGGTGTGACGAAAACATGGAATTATCAACCAGAAACACCATACTATCCAAGTCCATGCAATGAAGTTCGCGGCAGCGGTGGTGAATTCTATCCACCGGGACAGACAAAAGATCAACCATTAACATTTTTCAATGGCGAACTATGTCGTTATCTTGATCTGTACTATACCGAAGAACAAGAGATTAACGGATTAAAAGTGAATAAATATGCGGCAACGGAACGATCAGTCGACAATGGCACCAAGTACAGTGAATACAAATGCTTTTCGCATGGCGAAAGTCTTCCATCCGGTGTAATGAATGTATCGGCCTGCCGTTATGGTGCACCCGTGTTTGTATCATTCCCACATTTCCATGCGGCCGATCCATACTACTTGCAATTCGTTGACGGATTAAAACCAAACAAGAGTCAACATGAGTTTTATATTGCAATGGAAGCAGATACCGGAATCCCAGTGGTATGGAATGCGTTTGTTTAAAATGAGAAATTCTCTTCAACTTTTCGACATTAACACACTTTGTTTTTTCTCTCCTTTTCTGTTCAACAGGAAGTGGCTGCCCGGCTACAAGTCAATGTAATGGTCCGACAATATTCGAATATCGCACTGTTCCAAGAGGCGCCAACGATATTCTTCCCAGCACTATGGTTCGAGCAAAAAGTTCGCATTCCTAGAGAAATGACCGACGAACTGATGATCGCCGCTTCGATGCCAATGATCGGATACATTTGCATCGGTGTACTTATTGCCATCGGATTGATTCTGCTAATGTTTGCTGCCTGTCAACGAATTCGCCAACGAAGTATCACAAAAAATACGTTGCACAAAGAGGAATTGGCCATCAAAAATGGAATTCCAAATGAGAAACTCAATCGAAATATCATCGAAGCCGAACAATCACCATTGATGAAAGATAAAAAAATGCCGGAAAATTTTGTTATAAAACCAATCCATTATCCACATATACCCATAGCTCCGTTAGCTTTGCCAGACACCGACTTTGAATTGAATTCAATCACAAAAAATCATTAGTTTTGAGATATTAATACATTTAGTTGTTAATAAAAATGAATGTAGCTATAAAATAGGGCCATTTCAAATTGAATCATGAATTGGAATTGATTCAGAAGACGTTCGTAGCCAAGTGCGATTTCACGATAATTCTCTTGATATTACACAATTATCGGACAGATTTCGGTTTTTGTCTGTTGACAGATTTTTTTTATAGAGAATTTTGTTTCCATTGATATCGGTTGCGAACCACGACGATCGGCAACAGAAGCTAAGGCATTTAAAATAAATAAATTTGTAATACTTCCAAAGCAGGTTCTGTTATCATAGCAAATACGTCTAGAGATTAGGCTACAACCTAACGAGTAATTAAGTAATTTTCATCTTTTTCTATGTTGCGCTAATTGTTTTGATTCCCGTTCGGAAAAAAAACGACTTTGAGACAGATAAATAAATCTAATTGTGTGCCAAATGCAAAACATTTCCTTGTTAATCTTTTTTTCTATATGTTTGAATAGGTTGGTTTCATGATGCGGACGCATTTTTGTGACAGCTTTTGGACTCATAAAAATTACAATTTCCAATACAAACCGACCAACATTGTTGCTATTTCGAATGCAGTTTTTTTTTTTGTTGCTAATATAATTAATGGCACAAATTACATTGTTCTCGTCATAAAATAATTTGCCTTTGAGAAGCAGTATTGAATGCGCCACGTTCTGGGAAGTTTCAACACATTTTCGAACGAAGGTCAATTCACAGAGAGAAAAGAAATGTGTTTTTGTCGGTGAATGATGTTTATCAGTGCATCTTCGTTCGTAAAGCTGTGTACGTTGCATTAGAAGACGAAGCATAAGTTATACGAAATTTGTGTTGTTGAACACACGAATTTTTGGTCCACCCATACAACCATAGCATACATACACAATGCATGCTGTTGAGTATAAGGCAGACGCATCTACAGCAAATGTGAGAGAGTCGTTCCGACAAAACAAAAAAACAACCGAATTCAGTCGATTTCGTGCGTTTTTACTGCGGCACCAAAAGACCGATGAAGTTATGTGCTCCTGGTACGTTCACATTGATAACATTTCGTTGTAGCCGTTGACGTCACAAGGAAAAAGTACAACGACGGTCGACGGTCGACGACGACGTCAATGCATAACAAACTAACATAGAACTTTCGTTTGGTTGTTGTGTTCAAACTATGTGTTATTGCTGCTCATACTGCTGTCCGCCAATGCTTCGGCGAATGCATTAGTTTCATTCCACTGAATCGAATCTCTCGCTCTCGCTCTACTCATATTTTTTTTCATCGTTATTCCACTTCCATCCACAAAACTAACGAAATTGAATGGTATGCGCGGTAATAGTTTTCGAACCAAAGCAAAGCAAGACAACCACTTACAATGGTTTGAATGTTACGATGGACGAACCCTCCGCCTGATTCAATTGTTCGTTTTGTACAGCGCAAAACAAAATGTGAATGTTTTGAAGCCAAGCAATCATACTCTTGCTCTGCTTACGCTCATATACACGAACAGCTTTGAGATAGTAGTAAAACTAAAAAGGAAGTTCCACTCGACAAACTACACGCAGACGAACACAAATACACGCAATAGACGATGGATATGTTGTCGATGGAGGACTTTCATACATACACACATGTGTGTAAGTGGATAAATACGAACGTAACGTATACCGAAAAGAAAGAGAAAATTTCGGTTTGTACTATGGTTTTGACGGTCTTTTGACTGATCTCGTCTCGCTGCGGTTCGGCATTCACTTCGCTACTGCTTCTGAACGCCTGGCTCAGCTCTAATTAATATGTACGCTTTGTGTTCTTAAAAACATGCAAAATTTTTAGGATTTTCGTGCCATTTTACGATTTTTTTTTCGAAAAATAAAAATATCCAAAGAAATCTCTCCATACAAACGATCATTTTGACGTATGTTCGAAGCAGGAGTTTTCATTTTACTCGCAACGAACGAACAGAGAGAGCTGGTATATTTGCGTGCGTGTACGAACTTTTGGTTTTTATAATGGGATAATTTTTTCGCAAGGGAAGCTTTGAATTAAAAATCACTCACACACATACTCCGGTTCCGTGTGACTGAAATATTTTACGGGCATTGACTTTAGTAGAAAATGGAAAACGATCTGAATATATGACATTCTATGAACATTGAACACTCAATGTGATACAAAGCCACTCGGTAGAGTGAAATTCTCTCGTGTTTTTGTTATGTAACGCTGAAGTAGTTAAGTACAGATGAACGCAGCTCGTACTCCATATTTGAATACAAAGAAAGCATTTCTCTTTCATTCGTATACATGACTGTGAAAGGTCTCAACTCACGTACCGCTCAACTCACACATAGTTTCTCCCCTCATCGTGCATATATGCCATGTGTATAGTCGAATATACACTCCGTTTCATATATCACAGGGTGATACTATTCGCCGACACGCATTTCATTCAGACGAACAGAACCAAACAAACAGAATGTAATGTAAAAAATCAAGCCAAAGAACTAGACAAATATAAACAACCGTGTCTGCGCGTATGTTCGGTTCTATATCACCAGATTACTAACTAAGATTGTATATTAGAAAAAGCAGAATTTCAGCTATATTCTCAAGCGATACTCACCAATGCATTTTCTCCTCTAAATAGAATAATAATTAACTGAAAAGAAAGAAAAGACAATAGTTTTTTTCGTAGCGAACTACATCGCATGAGATTTATTTGCTTTTCGTGTTGCTTATAATTCGCAAATGCAATTTATGGCAAAATGTTGCATGTCAAATGTTACAACATCAATTTAAAACAGAACATGTGATTCCACAAAGAAGTGCCTTCTTAATAGTGCCTTCAAAAAGTATATACAATTATATAAAAATTGTATATGTCCATACATAAATTTTTGGAAAGCCGGTCGAATTATTATGTTGGACCCATAATATGACCGGCACTTATGAACGATCGAATAAAATCAATCTTCAGCTATTGCATTTTTCGTGTAAAATGCCTTGTTAGCCGAATCATGCAAAAAATGTAAAAAACAGCATTTTTCGCAAAAATCCAAATATGTACTATGTTTCGTCGCCACAATACATCATTTGTGCAGTATATAGCATCTCAAGAAATCGATGTTAAATGTGCATATTTTGATGCGTTCCAACATTCATTTCTATTGATCTGGAATAACCTGCACAGAGTCGATATTATACGTTCACATCATTTCTTCCAGAAAATTCCCAAGCGAATATTCTATGTGGTTTCTGCGATGATGGTTCACTCAAATGCGTTCATAGTCGTCCAAATGCTATTAGAAAAGAAGGAGTAAATATTCACATTGTATCAAATCTATATTCTCTGTCAATTTTCAAGAAAACAGAAAGTAAATTGCCTTACATTTTTGTGTGCAAATGTTTTAATGAGCTCAACAAAAATTATTTGTGCGACCGCACTCGACTGATGTATAATAGCAACTAAACGATTGATTTTCATCTTTCATCTCTCATCTCTCATCCCCTGAGCATCTGTAGCTGCGCAGATGCTACGATAGCTTGAACGTGTGCACATTGATTGAACATTTTATACGAATCGGATAAATTCTCTTTTTGTATGCTTCCCTAAAGTATGGATCAACGCGGCTTGTACTCCATTTAAATACCGAATTGAATTGAAAAAAAAGTGACGCACTAAACTCGCTCTTTCTCTTTTGCTTTCCGCTCAGTGTGTTTGTATTCAAAATGTACGGCAAACACTGCGCTTCAAATATCAGAGGGTACAATACACACAGTCAGCACGGCATTTCGTCCTTCAACGAACAAGATGTGAAGCGAAACCAGCGAACAGATGGATAAAACTCAGGCAACATGAGATAGATATACGTGTATAATAATAGAATGACTATATACTGCGTCGATGTTGGTTTCATGTTTGATGTCGTTTTCTGCACACAAATGCCACCCCAAATAGCATTGAGAAAATGCTGCTTCGGATATGAGTTAGTTTTTTCCACACATACCTACTTCTTCTTCTTCTATTTCGGTGTGCTACATTTGAACATGGATTGTAGGCTCTGACAAAATGTAGATACGCTCTGGTTGCTGAATATTTTCTATGCGATGCTTTTTTCAATTGTGTGTATGTTTCCAATGAAAAAGCATCTTCCATGTAATTCTGTACGACGATAGCTCGTAGATAGAAACCCGAATATCGCACGCCTGCGTTGACGAGTCCTTTCGTTACAATAGAAAGTTATGGTATGCAATAAGCAAAACCCATGCATTTGCACTTTAAACCGAAAACTGTGTACCAGCCATTTAAAGTGTGGGATGTGCGTTGGTTTCGGGGAAACTGCTTTTAAACCATTTCGGAGGGTTTATGTTTTTAAAATGCATATTTTTCACAGGTAGATTTTTCTCCTTTTCCAATTTCAACGCGTCCCTTATGAATAATTCGTAATAAAAATTATTTTTTCGGATGGTTTGCCGCTCATTACTCAAGATACTTACATAAATTCTTCGTGCACATTGCATCCATTGCCTGGTGCATTTTAATGTTAATTTGGTTTCATGGGCTTTCTCACTGACAAAAGAGAGAGAGAGGGAGAGAGAGAGAGAAACACACACACACAATGCGACATTCGTGAATGCTCAGCTCGTTCATCAGAACATCTGCACGAAGAGGGAAATACGGACAATTAATTCATGCTTTGTATGTGATGCAAAGCCAAACGCATGTTTTGGGACGAAGGAAAGAGCAAGAGAGCATATGACGCTAATCGTAAACATAACATACCCGCTTTTTTCTCTTCGTCTTTATTACATGAACAATTTACTTTGGTTCCTGTTTGAAAAAGAGCCTTTTTTCAAGCCGAAATTCAACAACAATTCATTTTATTTGACAAATTGTTTTCCTTTTTCAGTGTTTTAGCGGGTCGAAACCACGTTTTCTGAAAATAGGTTTTACGAGAAAATGCACCAAAATTGCCGAGAATCACACAAATCAGAGAAAATTCATATAAAAAATTAAGACAAGCTAAGAAAAACTAAAAAAAAAATAAAGAAAATGGATGAAAAATGGACGAGCATGAATCCAAAATGTCGAAAATATCGAGAGAGAGAGAGAGAGAAAAAAACGATGGAAATGAAGAAAATGATACAAATGAAAACAAACATTAAGTCCGAAAATGAAATCATAACAAAAAAAGTTGCATATTTTGACAATTTCTTTATTTCAATTTACATTATAAAAGTAAAATTATCCATTTAAAATAAGGAAAAATCAAAATTAAAATAGTAATTTTCTCAATTTTGTTTTGTTTGTTTTTTTTTCATCTCAAAATCGCATTCGCAAAAAAAAACTCTAAGAAAGAAAAAAAAGTCCCATATCATACTACTCATTCGATCAAAATTCATCATCATCAAATACAGCTAATAAATTATGTGTTTTTGTCTTGAAATTTTATTACAGTATAATTGACAATAAATTACACAAAAAAACACATTCTACATGCGGCAACGCGTGCGCAGAGAAAGAAAGAAAAAATTACATGGAAAATTGTTTAAATAGATGTGTGTTTTTCTTTCTTTCTTCATCATCGTCATTTTTTCTATAACACTAGTTGCTTTGAAATGTTGGACAGAGAATCGAAGTGTATGTGGTTTTTCATTTTGTTTGTATGAGCTTACATGTTAGAAAATTCAGGCTTGATGACTGCCTATAAAAATACGTGTGACAGTGAATCAACAATATTGTTACCTAGCGATGGGCATTCACTTAGAAACTATTCGAATGAAAAGCGAACAGGAAAAATTAATGGAAATATAAAACACATGATAAATAAAATGAGAGGAAATCGATGTGTACTCGATGCGAATGTAAAAATTGACTAAAATAAAGGGCAAATCTGTTTCATCATGTAAAAATAGCCCAGATGCAAAAATAGTTTTTAGCTATTTATGGAATTCGTTTACCGCAATGAAACCGCACAAATTTTGATGTGTGTGTTCATGGTATGTTTGGCTTTTGACAACCGACCATCGGATATTATTCCTGTTTTGCCCTGATTCAAATGTGTGTGTGTGTGTGTGTGTGTGTGTGATTGGTTTATTGTCGATGATGAAATTCATAGTTTTTGCTTTTTTGCGTTGGCATTTCCATTTGTTTTTGTTCTTTGTTTTCGGTCAATTTTACGTTCTGAATGACAAATTTTGTGATTGCATTTTCAAAACCATTATCAATATAACAATTTACAATTGGACATTTCGTCATGCGCACCGTGAATTCCAAAGCGAAACTCCGTTTCACTTTATATAAATGCACCAAATTAAATAAAAAATCATATTCTTTTAATGAAAAAAGAGAGAGAGAGACTGATACAAAAAATGAGGTCCATAATGTGTGTGTGTTTTTTTTGTTTTTTTCATTTCATTTTATTTACTGTTTTTTATCTGTATAATATTTATCCATAATTTTTCTTTGTGTTTTTTTTTCCTCGGTCAGTCACTGCAAATCTAAATCAAGTTTATTTCTTTCGTTTTTTTTTCTCTATTTCTTCTTCTAATTTTTTTTGTGTAATATCTATTGATTGATTGGATTTTACATTGATTTTTGTGTGTTGTATAGATTTTTGTTTCTGGGTTGTTTTTTTTCTTTCTTGAAATGTCTTTGAAATACAATGAAATATTTAGCAAATCATACATACAATTATTTGGATTTTTGTTTGTTTTGTTGGGATGCAAATTTCCTTAATAAAATCAGATGATTCGGGGCTGAAATGTTCGTTTATTACTTCATCTTGTGTAAGTATTTTGTTTATTTTTTTATTTATTTTGTTTACTCTCATTATTTATTTAAATTTAAATTTGTTTTACTCTTTTTTCCATTTGTTTACTTTTTAGTTCTCATTTATTTAATTTAACAAAAAAAAAATTGTTGGTTATGTGTTTTTGTGGTTGTTGTTGTTGTTGTTTGTTGTTCATTTTTTTGTGGATTTTTTTTAAAACTTTTTTTGTTGTGTGTAGCTTATTAAAGAATTATAATTACGCTGTCCATGAATCTCTTCACGCATCTTCGTCATCTTCATCACCATCTTCACCCTCTGCAAAAAAAATGGACAAAAACAATGGAAATCGATTAGTATGAGAGATAAAATATGGTTGTTGTGCTCATTGCAACAAAGAGAAAAACGGTTTGAATTGATCAAAGTGTCAATTCACATTTGGACTTTCTTCGATAAAGCAAAAATAAATCAATACGAACCTCCTTCCAAATCGTCCTCATCGTCTTCACCTTCGAGGTCGTCGTCTTCACCATACGGAATGTCTGCGTCGGAAGAAAATGAAACGAATTAGTGAAAATGTTGAAAAGTGCGGGAAAAAGCGAGCCATCGGCTCTGTGTGCAATAATTTCAAAAATCATCAACAATCTTGTGCTTACCTCCTTCATCTCCGTATTCCTCATCTTCGCCTTCAATTTCTTCATCGTCAGCCTCTTCATCGCCGGCATCTTCAGCTTCGGGGGCAGTACCATTTTCATCTTTCTTAGCCTTCTTGGCTTCTGTTGGTTTTTCCTGCAATAAACAAAGAAGACCATTCATTAGACACCAATATTGACACATTTTATTAATTCAGTGATAAACAAAAAAAATGAAGTTTGCTTATTAAGGTAGATCCGGTCGATTTCCCATTACTAAATATTTCAATAAAATTACTTTGCTTATCAGTTGAACTAGTTTGGTTGACGGAATGTGTTCAAACCATCGATTAGTTGATGTCAAGAGTAAAGGAGTAAAGTGATAGATATGATTATGGTCGAAGTGAATAAAGCGTGTCAAATGAATTGATGGCAGTTGGAACAGAGCCTGAGTTGGTGTTTTTATTTTTCATTGAATTTTCCATTTAGGAAGCGTAAATGCCAATGTGAAGTGTTAAATGAAGTGAGTCGAATGTTCGGTTGAAAGCGAAACGGGATTACTGTATATACATAATGTACAGCTCGTATAAATAGAGTCATTGTAGTCGCTGCGCCCGATGCAATCGATGGCAGCAGCGACAGCAACAATAACAGTAGCATTGACAGAAGGGAAAACATCAATACATGGGCAAATCGAGTTATTGCCTCACTATATGAATATTTGATTCGCCATTGCTCGTTGATAGCATTTACACTAGTGAAGAAGAAAAAATCGATTCAAACTATGAAAAATGATTATAAGCACGTCGAATTGCTACTTATGCGTCCAGTAATCTCTTCTCACCCTGCCTTATTCCACGTTTATATTATTAATGCTTTCGAATCTGACCTACTGATTGGCAGGATTTTCACACCTACTCGATTCCATTTCCAAAAAGAGACAAAACGAAAAATTCGACCCAAAATTGGAGCATTTTGATTTGTGAGCGTAAGAATGCTTAGCGCGCATGAACCCATCTTATTATGGGTTTCTATGGAATTGTGGTTCAATCAAATTATTTAGGTGAAATTTTTGGAAAAAAAAATTTACTCTGGTTAATACGGAAAAAAACCACGGCAATCAATTTTCAGTTATAAAAAAACAATGCATGAAATGAAAAGCCCTTCATTGAAAATGAGCCGATGAAAAACGACTAGAAAAAAATATCGAACCCCATTCAGCACGATCAAATAGAGGGAACAAGCACGTATCGCATACGATGCGAGGGAAACGAAAATATGAGCCCGTAAATTATTCGAATGAATAAAACTCGTTACAAATGTTGTTCACAAGCGCAAAGAGAGAGAGAGAGCATGTGTTTGACGCCAAGCGATGAATTTCGATATGGTTAAAAGGCGAGTAGTCGCATCGAAAATGCGGCATCGGCTCACCAATCACATTCATTCGATGGAAACACTACATGCACACAGACCGACCGACACACACACGCGCGCTACTCGAGAACGCCGCATGTGTGCGGAATCGACAGTGATTCAGTGACATGCTTGTTTCGGTTCGACCGCTAACTCAGCATTTCAGCACAACTACAAGCGCACGCACGCCGACTGATGCCGTGTACGCTTGGTTGTGTCGAATGTGTGAGCGTGTATGAGACAACCAATTGACGTTTTATTTTGTGTGCGTTTTTTTTCATTTACTTTTCTAGAAAATATTGCTTGATTCAGATTGCGGTATGATGTTTGGCTTTTCAATTGTAACGAAACAAACGAAGATTGAATTTATTTTTTTTTACTAAACATACAAATACACTTCTCCATCAATATCTATTTCATTTTCCTCTCTGACTGATTTCTTTAATGCTTCGGAAACGTCTTTGGTTCCTCAGTTTTGCATTTGAAACAACAACGGAAAAAACTCGCACACCGAGCTCTGGTTGAAACGAGCATTTGCTGAGCTTTTGCTATGCCCTGATATGTTTCAGTATAATACTTAATACACTGTCGTGTTTGTTTGTTCATTGTTATCTGATGATTGTTTTTTTTCTCTCTCTCTCTCCAATTTATATATGGCATTTCTGTGTGAGAAGTGTACAAAATAATTGTGAAGCTTTGCGGTGCTCAAGTAGAAAGCAACAACAACTAAATCACACACATGAACAAGAAATGTTGATGATTTATTTTGGAAGTGGAGCACAAAATATAGCCATAAGTACATGTTTAAAAAATAATCTTTTCGAAAATGAAACAAACACACACTCAATGGTGTTGGAAATGATTTGTCGGAAAGTTGCTATCATTAATCCGTTCTGTTCGCCGTCGAATTCGATGCACATGATTTGGTGTGCGCGAGCACGGCGTACACCGTTGATAACGATAAAATTGTGAATATGCCATGAAATGGCATAAAATCGAGTTCTATTTTTTGATACCGAACAACGGCAAAAAGTGCCATGAGCGAAAGAGAGGGAGAAAAAAAACAACAGCGGCAGGCGAACATTTAATGATTCTACAAGTGCACTGAAATGTGTTTGCATTTTTATTAGCAGAGAGTAGCAGCCGCCATGTGGTCACACACTTGACTTACAGAGTCAACGCGCGCACGCTTTGCTTATTCCATTTCGAATTATTTTTTTTTCTTTCAACTGCTTCTTCGGTTCAAAACAGCGAAAATGTGCAAATGAAACAGACACCCGAACATCGTCGTGCCACAGTGCTATAGCTGAGACATACAATCAGCTCAATTCCGAGCGCTGTAATGACGTGAATTTTGCGTGTTGATGAGTATTACTTTGTTTTCTCTCTCTCTTTCTTTGCGTTCAACAGTTTCATTTTTTTTTTTGGATTATTCTAGGGGCCTCTGAGTATCGTGTTCATTCAGTTTACGATTTTTTTTTCTTCTGCGTTTTATTTTGTGTTTCGTTCGTTTTCGTTTGCATTTTCAATTTCAGTTGTTATTTCCATTCGTCACCTTTTTTTCGTGAGTGTTAAGCCGACTTGCGAACGCTTGCGATTTAAATTCAAAAAAGGTGCTCAAATATCATGAGAAGCTTATCGATGCGAAACGATTCATTCACTGACTTTCAACTAAAAATGAGCATAAAATGCAATTTTACTTGATGGTAATGGTGGAATTTTGATGGATATTCTTTTGGGCCGAAACATCCATATATTTAGAAAACTTTCCTCAAAGCACACCATACTTTGTGTGTATGTGTGTGTGTGTGCGTTCCATTGTTGCCGGCCCCAAAAGCCAAGCACATTTTTAGGCGGCAAAAAAAGTCATGTATGAGTCTTGCGCGTTTGTTCACAACGAAGATGATAACTTTTGCGTTTCAAATGTGTATTCCGTCTTTCTTTCCTTTTCTCTTTCTTTTTCTGAATTTTGTTTTGTTTTCACCTTCGCTCACGAGGTGTGAGTTATATTTTGCTTGTTTGCTAAAGATGAATAGCCGCAACAATGTGTTCTTTTCGCTTTTGAAAAAAAAGAAAAGAGAAGAAAAAATACCGTCCAGAACGATTTTTTTTTCGACGCGTTTATGATTTTATGATGGGTTCCATTGGCGTTAAAATTTCTCTATCATATCCGGACTTGATTCATTTGTACGAGAATTCAGACGAGAAACGTAGAAAGACGAACACCAAAATAGATTTAAAGTGTATTGCGTTGCGGCCATTGGCTTGATAAATACGATTGTGTCGTCTTCGTCATCATCATCATCGTAGTTGTCGCCGTTGTCGTTATTGTTTCTTTTGCCCGTCAGTTAAGTCAATAGTGTGGCCTTTTGAAACAACACCAACAGCACCAGCAACAAAACAGAAACACGAGCGAAAAGAACAAGAGGGAAAATGGCCAGCATTAAGAATTCAAATTAAGATACACACAGAGAATGACAATATACTGTCCGTATTGAGCAAAGCGAACGAATGAGCGGGCGAGAAATGTGCCGACCGAATGGATTACAGAGAGAGAGAGAGAGCGTAGAAGGCTATGAAGAGAGGGATAGAATAGAAAGAGGAAAAAAAGAAGAACCGAAGCCAAATACAAGCGCTTGTATCATTTTCAGCATTTTCTCGACGCTTAGAATTTTTCACCTAAAACACACAGCCAGAGAGAGAGAGAGAGAGTTTGGGCTTGAAACCTTAATGTCAGGCATTTTTGTTGTTGCTGAGTGTTTCGAGTTGTTTATGTATTGGTTATACATTGACGTGTGTATTTAATTGGT